ATTTGCATATCTCTACGTATAAAAGTAATTGATGAATATAATGAAACAAATATTACTGATGGAAAATAAAGGATATTCCTTCAGAAGATACGGTAAAACGAAATTCTAATCCACAAGGGTTTCTAATAATTAAATGACTTTTAAAATTATCTATTGTTAAATAGTTCAATATACATGTAAATTTTGACTTATTTCAATGAGGTAGGGCTTCATCAAGGGATACAATAGGTCTCATCTACGATGAAAGGTCTTCAAATCAGCAAATCTTTGTAGCCTTCAAATAGTTCAACCTTTTTGTATCAATCATTCATTATACTTCTTGGGTGTTGATTCCATCCAAATCAGCAAATCTATCTTCATATAACCAGGTAAAGAGCTTCAAAATCATTCTTCATATGATTAAAATATCGAAATCATTCTTCTAATTTACACCATTCAAATGTTGTCAAGCTAAAAAGATTTCAACTTTTTAAAGGATAAATCGGATAGCTAAGACGGATGAGACGAACGTTTTGAATAATAAACTAAAATATATTTATTTTACACAAACCAATATATTTAAATATTACTGTGAACGCCGGTACGTTGTTTACACTACTATACTAGTGGATTTATTCCGTTTTGCACGAACGGGTAGTCTTTAAAGATGTAATTTAGCAAAGTTAGTTGAAATCCACCGCTGACTTAATTTTCATAAAAAGTGGATTTATTCGGTTTTGCTTCTACGAATTTGTGAATTTTCAAAATTATATTCGAATGTATCTGTTTTAGGATTTCATGCCAGTAATGAATGGTTTTAAATGTTGTGTTATGGCCCTTTATTTCCCTTAAATTTTTAATTGGATTTATTTAAACGATATTTTAGTAATTTATAAAGCAGATAAATAGAGTCTGATTACAATAAGAAGAACACTACGTCATTTCAAAAAATATACAGGTGGTTTCATTAATAATTGTCCGTATAATAACTGTAGACTCCTTGATACAAAATATGACGATTTATCCTAAAACACTTATAAAATATTTTTCTTAACCGAGATATTAAATATTTAAAAAATGTTTGCCCACTGTTACATTACTTTCCAATATTTTTTGTTCACAGTTAGCCAAAAGTTTATGTATATTAAGACACTTTAAATGATTGTAGATTATGGTTTCTCGGTATTACCAGAGGCGTGCGGACTTATTTTTCCCGTCTACATTCTACGCCACTATCGTAACCGTCATAATTACATATTTTTTTATACATCATTATTTTCTAAATAAATATTACCCACGTATTTCATTACGATATAGTGGGTAGTTTTCAAGATTTTTGTGCTCAAAGGAATAATGTATTTTATTTTATTACGTGTATTACTGAGGCCCTTCCTATGGGGCCTTCTTACACAGATTTTTTAAAACTTTTCACGTTTCCGATCATTCTGAGTCCAAAAATGCAAAAAAAATCATCTGGTCGTCTGTGTATATATATGCCGGCACCTTAACTCTAGAACGAAAGTTCTGATTGACTTGCGATTTTGATTTTCTTGAATAATTACTTCTAACTTAAAACCCTATTGGTTTTCTTAAAATCCGCCTATGCATTTTTTATGTGACTAATTTTACGAATTCCAATCATTCCTAACGTCTAACATTCCTAACGTCTAACCTTCCTAACGTCTAACATTCCTAACATTCTTAACATTCCATACATTGCAAACATTCTCCAACGACCTGTCAAATAAATGCTGTTGATTGTAAAAGTGATATTTCTAGGGCAAGTTGCAAACTTCATACTTGCAACCATAGCCATTTTGGAGGCTATTTTTATTCGAAATTAGTCGCCAAGTCTGCCAATTGATGCAAAATATATAAGTAGTTTCTTAAAAATGACTTTTTTATGGTGGTGATAACTTAAGCTTACTACTATTTCTCCCCTAGCGACAAAAACGCCTTCATAACATTTTACTGGCTCTTTGTCGCAACCCCATAAAATAATTAACCGGCCATTTTATTTGGCAAAAATGAGAATAACACTTGGCTAAGACGGGGTGGGTGGCTCAGTAGTAGAGTCTCTGCCTGTGAATACAAGGGTCCCAGGTTCGAATCGCACCGTTGGCCGGAATTTTTTCATTTAATTTAATTACTTAAAATTAATTATGATGCCTTGGTAGGATTCCCCACTCGACCATTCACTGTTGGGTTCTAATGGTTGATGGGTGAGGTTTCCCCGCACAAGCTCAGCTTTTGGGGTTAAAATTCACCCGTACGGGGTGAATTAGGGAGAGTATTATTATTATTAACAGTGCTGTTCCTAAAATGGCGCTGAGAAACAGTTACAAAGCCTACAAAGAACACGAGGCGAAATAACCTTAGCAGTTGAAGCACAAAAAAAACTTGGCTATGCCTGTCAAGTATCAAGCTGTCAACTGTGATGTGTGAATGGCTCTTAAATGTCAAATTATTTAAAAATGTTTGCATGCGTCTTTTGATATTTATTGCAAATAATTTGTGTTTTTGAAAGAGTAAAACCAAATTTGGTAGATTTTCACACTTTTATTTTAAAAATAAAAATTTTTAAAATTAAAAAAAAAAAAAAACACTAACATGACATATGTTTCGAAGTACAACTTCTTTTTCAAATGTGACTATTTACAATTCGGTATCCAATATATATACGAAATAATTTAACAAAACAAAGTACTTAAGAAAACATCAATAACATTACAAAATAAACTAACTATTTAAAGTAAATAAGGGTACTTAGGTAATTATAATATCCATCAAATAACAATAAGATAGCCCATTACCGGGATTATCTCACAGAAAACTGGGAAAGAGATTTAATAAGGGTGAATTATTAATATCTAATTGATCATTTAGTAAGTTATCTGAATTTTTAAATCTATTTATTTCAAGTGTTTCTAAATGGTTTAATTTAAGGCTCTTATTTTCTACATGTAAAATTTCAAAGTTGTCTGTAAAAGAATGATTTTCAGCTAAAATATGATTTGAGTAAGTAGAATTATTTTTGTTTTTTGTATAGCTATTATAATGTTTGGAATAGCGTTTTTTGAAAGTACGGCCTGTTTGACCAATATACAATTTTGGACAACTACCACAATTTAATTTATATACCCCCGATTTATTATTAGGATTAATTTTACCCTTATTGTTTTTAATATACTTCCCAAGCGTATTATTGGTTTTAAAAGCTACGTTAATATTTTGGTTTTTTAAATATGATGATACCTTTTCACTAGGAGCTCCTATATATGTAAGACTCTTATATCTGCAATTTGGATCTTTAATTATGGGATAAACTTGTTGAATAGCCTGTTTAAAAAGTTTTTTCTCTAAAATGTTGTCTACTAACTTTGAATTAAAATTATTATTTACTGCGATTTGTTTAATGATATTTAATTCTTTTGTGAAGTTCTCTTTGGTAAGGGGAATATTAACTAATCTATGGATCATACTGTTGTATGCTGCCAGCTTTTGTTTGTATGGATGAGATGAACTATTATTTATTGTAATATCCGTATGTGATGGCTTATGAAATTTTTTGAAAGTGTGAAAATCTACCAAATTTGGTTTTACTCTTTCAAAATTAAATTGATTTTCATCAAGTAAAGGCCGAAACAATAAATAATTTAAATAAAATAATTTGTGTGTATCTCAATTCAGGCTTTCCATAAATAAAGGTACAGCAAGACAGATAATTATAATGTTCTTATACAAAGCACTTTTTTATTATATAAAAGAGAAGTAGGATATAATGCTGGTTTTCTGTAGATAATTTTAATTATACGATTTTGAATTACATTAAGGGGTTGAAGTGCAATATCATATAGTCCACATTATACCATATCGCAAAATAGATTCAACCAGCGAATTGTAATTATTAATTAGTCATAAATTTCCTCAATTCATAAAATTTTAAAATGAATCTTCTAACTTTGGTTGTTAATGACGTAATGTGATCAACCCATTTCAAATTTTGATCCATTATGATACAGAGGTATTTTGTTGTGTTTTTCATTTTAATTATAAAGTTGTCATTTATTTGTATGTTGAAAGAAGGCCTTTATAAATTACTTTGCTCTCTATGGATCTACTTTAACACAAAAATAGTTTTGTGGTCTTTCGTTCCGAGTTAAATAATTTCTTGTTTTTTTACGGTACGGATTTACTCTTGTGGGCCTCAGTCTCGAATTTCACATGCGTTTCTTCAAGTTTGAATATACAATTTATTAGTTATGTACGCCACTGGTAATAGAATAATTTAAATTGTCCTAAAATTCATAAACTTTTTGCCAAGTATGATAAAAAATATTGAAAGGTATTGTAGTAGTACCTAGATCAAATAATTTTAAAATAAATCGTCCTGTATCCCAGTTAGGAGGAATATTTTATCTTAATGAGTAGGTTAAGTCATATTTTCGGTCAGAGTTTCTCCATTTACATTAAAAACAGATATTAAGATATCAATGAAACACCCTTTTTATTTCTGTATTAGGTGTATTCGGACATAATAAAAAAAACAATAAATAAAGATTAACTAATTTGTTCAGTTTAAAATAAAAAACAATTAATATATTTCTATAATATTAACACGACACTAAACGGAGTAGGCGGCGATCGCTTGCTAGTGACTCCACGAAGTTGTGACGCGGCTATGTTCTTATTATAATCAGGTCATATATCTTTTTTACAATTTTAATTAAGACCATGTTACTTATGTCACTTTCCACTTAGCTTAGAAACAAACGAGATCGTGCAGGATTAACTTTTGATTTTTCACATTGTTATTGGCGCCCAACGTGGGGTTACAATTATTAAAGCTTTCTGAATACAACCATAAATTGAGTACGAAGGTAAAAAAAGATCCTTTATATCTTATAAAGTCATTTATTCGTACTCAATCTCTACTACTCACATATGGCTACCCTCGCCCTCAATATACAACAAATTGTATTCAAAATGCTATTGTATTTTCAAATATATATTTTTTTCAGGAACATAATTTTACTAAACAAAGCTGGGATCGCCCCTAACCTCTACGCCACTTTTAAAAATGGTCTGGCCTACCGTTTCCTGCCAGGGAACACTCTGACTTGTGAAACTGTTAAAGATCCGGTAATATACCGATTAGTAGCGAAACAGATGGCGCTTTTACATAAAATCAAACCCGACGAAGAAAGCGATTCGCCGTTTATCTGGAACAAGTTGAGGAAATTCCTGGATTTGGTTCCGGAGGTGTTTTGCGATCCGGAAAAACATCGAAGGTAGGAAAATAGAAGGGTAGCGTTGTTTATAAATAAAGAAGAGTTGTTAAAATTGTTAGAGCACCGTAATTGTCCTTGCTGCAAGTAAAATTAGGGAACTCACACCATTTACACGGAAAACTACAAAAATTCGCAACGAAAACAAACTAAACGTCACGTTATGTAAATCGCTTTATAGCTTCTCAAAATATTTCTCTTATAAATTTATGTATTTTTATGTATACGATAATCCAATCTTCACAATACTTTTTCCGCTATAAGAAAAGGTACCTTCGAAACAAGTTATAATGCTTCTACGGTCTCTTCAGGCGATGATTAATAAGTCATCAGTCGATAAATTAGGCGAATATGGTCAACGAGTTATTAATTGGATGTTATTACTGGTCAAAATCTCGACAGTTCGTTGTGCTGTGTGAGCTCTTGCTTTGCCTTGATGCAGAATAAATAATAATTCGCCGATTTACGTTGTTTCTTCTGATTTTAATGATAACTTCAGGCAAACAAATTGAAATAGACCAGTCAGCATTAACTGTCCTTCTATCCTCTAATGCAGTGTTTCTCAAAGTGTGCTTCGCGGAGCCCTGGGGCTCATAATAAAAAAAATGAAGCAGTACTATGAGGAAGTTCGCTACAAAAGGACCTTTTTCTTTATAAATGTGTTCCGCCATGAAAAAAGTTTGAAGAACACTGCTCTAATGCAACAGTTGCAAGAAACAAGCAATATTTTTTTTGTTTTTCGAAAAGTTTAATGAAAAAACCATTTTGGTTAGTTTAGGATTTTATTTTGAAACACCCGATCAAACGTTTTTCAAAATATTTCACATAAAAGCTTATGCCTTGAAGTAAAAATGTAGGTAATTACTTTTTTGGTATATTCAAAGGCTAAAATTTGGTTTTATAACACATTTTTGCTAAACCGATTCTGGATAATAAGCATTTGCGAGGTAATATGGCCGCTCGCAATGCGGCCTCTTTGAGCAATCTATGCAACTAGGTATATATCATTGACCCTGTCAAAACCCATCGGCAACCATTTGGGCAGGTCACTGGAATGCCTAAGTAGGCCAAAATGGTTGCCAAAGGGCATGGTAGATTTGATAGGGTCAATGATGTATTTTTAAATTCCAGAATAATTCTGCAATTAAAATGTTATCAGGTAAATCTGGTACTAGTGCATCTGCATTCAACCTTGAGAGGGAAACTCGTGCATAAATCAAAACACTAACTAATGTCACACTGTTTATTCAATTATTGGAAATCTGAGAATACAAATTATTGATATTGTTACACTGGTTTTTGGTCTTAATTTATTTCAATTCAACTTTATAATAACTCAATTCAACTTTAACAATAACTATCCAACTGATAACATTAACGTACAACGTCTATTATAAAACTGAAAACTGATCATCCTTATATAGCTTGCTTGACCCTTCTCGAACTGTCGTCTAGAATATTCTTGACGGGTAATGACATTTCTGGACTATTCTATCTTCTTTTGCTTGTACTTTTACTTATGACGATGAGTAACATTCCACTTCTTTTTCTATATGTACGTTTCCTATGAACGTATTTGTGCTTGTAGGAAATTCAATCTCACGCTGTATGGACGATAACAAAATTTGTGTTATTCTAAAAGTGAAAATATCGACCCCGAAACAAGTCACCTTTTATAGTTTTGACGTTAAAGACTGTATAACAATATGCGTGCCGAGGCATCTTTACTGGAGTGACGACAAGTGAAGAACAAAACGATGTGTGTTGTCTGTTCGAGGTTCGAAAAAGGATTGTTGGGTAGCGATGGGTGGAGTCGACCCCGAAGCATACTTATTGTTGAACGTTTGAAACTGGAGTGTTTAGCGAGACATGTTGACTATTGAAAGTTCGGAAGTGGAGTGAGGGACACGAGCGGCGATGCATCGTGGCAGGCGATGGACGTTTGTTAGTTCTTATATGTTGAAGACTTGTCCAACTGATGATCATTACATCAAAACGTGAAAATTCGTTTGAAGTATTTTTATTTTTGTTTAGTAAGAAAGAGAGAATTGCTGCGCTATAAAAGATAGATAATATCGTTACCCAAATTAGCAAACCTCTAGCTCCACTTTTTGCGAAAATCACATTTTCATGCCAACTTGTAGAGAAAAAATCTCTATTACATGTTTTAAACCTCATTAATCCAGAATATAGAATCCAGAATAATATTATTCTGGATTTATGAGGTCTGAAACATGTAATAGAGGTGTTTTCTCTACAGGTTGGCATGAACATGTGCATTTGGCAAAAAGTGGAGTTACGAGGTTTGCTAATTAGGGTAACGATATGTGGTTCTATTTTGAGTCGTACTGGTGCCTACGTGATATTTCTCAGATTTTGAAGACAATATATTTAGCTTGTACTGTTTCTGAAGCGAGATTCAATTGTTATTTGTAGGATAGATATTATGCATTTTGTAAATGCGTGGGTTTAACACAAATGGGTTGAACAGGGGCGGTTTGCCAAATGCTATGTTTAAATTTAAGATTAGGTCATGAAATTTAAACTATATAATTATATAGATTGATCATCTATGTTTTTCAAAATAAACATAAGCTCATGACTTTTTATATATTGTTGACCCTATCAAAACCCTTAGTAGTGTCGGATTGAGACCTGCAGAGCCTACCGGTCAGGAGGGGAGAATAGCCCACCTTTTTACCTTTTTCGGGGTCCGATTTTCACTGAAGAGCAAAAAAAAGGTTATCTCACGTATTACTGGAAAGTTCTTCTTCAAGGATTCACTGCTTAAACGAGAACCCACTGTTTGAACGAGGGCCTACCAGTCTTTTAATCGGTAGACCGATGGCCCACAGCTTGAACGAGAGCCCACTGCTTGAACGAGGGTCTACTGCTTAAACGAGGACCCACTGCTTGAACGAGGGCCTACCAGTCTTTTAATCGGTAGACCGATGGCCCAATCCGACACTGGCCCTTAGGTAGCCATTTGAACAAGTCGGTATTGGGACTAGGGCCGCCGAGAGCCAGGTGGGTTCCCGGGACAACTTTATAAAAAAAATTAAGCCCTTTCGATATCACATTTCTAAAAAAAAGGTCCTGAAGCAAAACAAAACTTAGATCCTTTTTCACCAGTGAAATCTAAAAAAAAAGGTCCTCAGCAAGTCCTCCCTTTTGTTGGGAACTCCAAAAAAATAAAACTTCCCTTGTGACCGGGCCATGGGAATTTGTCCCGCCAGCCCCTCCTCTCGTCGGCCCTGTGTGGAACGCCTAATACGTTAAAAACGTCAGTCTGTACGAATATGACAGTTGCAGAACGCTGACAATACAAGAAGTACTTCAATCTGCGAATTTTAGCACTACTTCTCGTAATACATCATTGGTAATTCATTCTTTTATATTCTAGTTTTTTTTACACGCAACATAACATTAAATATGTCAAATACCAGAAATGTATAGGTACTTTAGAATTCAAATTGATTGGCAGCGTTCATTTCAGCCATTTTCTTTAAAGTTGCAGCTGTAATACGAATTGTGCAAATACATTTTAATTTCGTTGCTGCTATTTTCTACATTTGCAAGAAGAATTGCAACAGCCTGGACGTTAGTGCGCAGACGTGAAATATGAATTTCCGCTATTTTATATGTAAGCAAGGAAAATTAAGAACTTTAAAGAGGCTCTTAAGAAACTTCAAATATTCATATTTCATTTAGGTAGTGTCCTTTCAAAAAAACCTTAAAAGTAAGATTATGATTACCTGCTATGTTAGAAATATATGAAGCCGCAGTAAAACGATCACATTTGGTTTATTATCATTTTTATGATTCATGCAAAAAGTAATTTACGAAGTTGTAAAATTTCGAAACGTATCATACTGAAAATACTGTGATAACCCAAATTGTTTAACATGTTTAATACTTTAAAACTGCCGCTGTATCTTATAGTTATGTAATAGGTAGTTGTTACAGATAAAAAAAAGGTATACCTATTTCATTTGAAATTTTCTAGAAAATAAAAAACCTTTTGAAATTATGAATATTCTTAAATGTTATGTTTCCACCCTGTATACATTAAATGGTAACGATTTAACGTAACACAATTTACAACCCTGCATACTAGGATTTTACAATAATTGATACATTTTTAATATTATTTAACTGAAGATGACGAATATGTTGCAGGTACTTGAAGGACTTCGTCCCGAAATCTAAACTCGAAGAGGAAGTAAAGCAGCTAAGAGAGGTCGTAGAAAAATTAAATAGTCCAATTGTTTTTGCTCACAACGACCTCTTGTTGGGCAACGTTATACACAACGAAAAGGAAAATAAGGTCACTTTTATTGATTACGAATACGCAGCTTTAAACTACCAAGCATTCGATATTGCCAATCATTTTAATGAATTTGTAGGTAAGATATGTATATAAATCAATAAACACGAATATCCCTACGGTATTTCTAATAAGCGGTGAAAACCTCAAAGTTAATTAGCAGTGTAACTAACACAATGAAAAGGTTTTAAAATTACAGTTTGAACGCAATTATTGTCATTCTAGAATACTATCGCCCTACGAAACGACCGGACCAAATGGTGTTTGTGTATTTTAATGATAGGTTTCCGTTTAAAATATTATTTTCAAGGGAATGTTGTTAATACGGATGATACCGAGACGGAAAAGAAAGCAATGTTGTTTCGTGGTCGACGTTCTGGCGTGTAGATTCAACGATTAAGGGGATATTGACTCTTGACAACTTCGGAAGTTGAGAAATTGAGTCGGCGAAACAAGACTGTGGATTGCCATTAAAAATTGCCCTTTAAACATATTTTTTTTTACAAAAGACTCGTGAATTATAAAAAAATGTAATTTCATGGATATGGCCCCTTAGGCCTCTTCCACTGTAGCCGCGCTTGATTCGGTTTTTAGGTAGATATTTTCTGATTTTCGGAACTTTCCGATTTTTCACTTTCTGTTTAAAACCTTTCTTTTGTAAAATTAGTAAAACTACTTTAATTTCCTGTTCCGTGAAATATCTATATAATTTTTCTTTTTAAGGAATATCCGAGGATCTAGACTACGACACCAAATTCCCGAATAAAGAATTTCAACAGAGTTGGATTCGCACTTATCTCACCGAATTTAACGGCACAGAACCAACTAACAAAGAAGTAGAAACGTTATACGTAAATGTCAGTAAATGCACGCTTTTGAGTCATCTCTTTTGGGGAGTATGGGCTCTGGTTCAAGCCGAATATTCTTCTATAAATTTCGACTACATAGGGTGGGTATAAATAGTTTATTTTAACAACCAATTTACTTGCAAGGTTAATTGCGGTGATTCATATTGCAATGTCGATAAAAAATGACTGAAATAAGAGCTGCCAGTTTTGTGTTACTAACTTATTGGAATATGAAAGAATTAATAATTATCATTGATGTTTATTTATTTTAATTATTAAATGGTGTGTTTCCCTATTTGTTTGGTATTGGCGAACTTGTTTTTTTAACTAAGATGTTCTACCTGTTTATTAACTTTTTGCATTGAATAGAATACTCCTATACATTGAGATAAAATAAAAAGAAGATGCTATGACGATGCAAAAGTGTCTGCACCTTTGCATTACACTTTTACGTCATATGTCAAACTTTAGATAGTGGAGCTAGTTAGTTTTGTTGAGAATAAATGCCATTTTTTTTAAATACCTTCATTTAAATGATATAAAATTATTTTCATTCCGTCAGTCTTCAAATATAAAATTATTGACTTCAAATAAATCAAATTATGACTCAAGTCGCCATTTTCATTGCACCTTTCCGTCACTTGAAGTCCGTCCATCTGTCATATCGCAAAATAGTGTTTGTCACATAATTTGATTTTGTTTTACTATACAGAGAATGGTCGCACTGCACAGCTGAGTGCCTTTTAAAAGGAGATAAAAACTCCGCCATTTTGATCCCTTATTACGTGTTGCCTACATCTTGGCGCAATATTTTTATTAGGTGCGTTTTAATCATCCGCTTCTGCTTCGGAATTGTCGGTTTTCTTGTTTTAATCTGACAGGTTAAAACGACTAAACCGACAATTCCGGAAGCAGAAGCGGATGATTAAAACGCACCTGATGTTTTGCTTGCTGCTGTCAGTGTCAGTGAATATTATTTTTGGAGTCACAGTTTATTGCTAAAGAATCAGTTAGCTCACTCGGACCAGTTGAAAGTTCCAAAATAACATCCACTCCAGGGATACAAATTCAATATACGCAGAAGACTGCTGTTTTATTATAGGCGGTTGTTATATATTGTATTATCCGAGTTTCGCAGTGTATAAACTGGAACATTTAGATTAAAAGTGCCGACGCAGAGTGAGCGATCTGATTCTTTAACTATAAACTGTGACATAGGAATCAAAATGGCCGCGCCCTATGTTGGGCGTGTCGGACCTCTCTCTTGCCTCGTATAGTAATCAAAGTATGTGGATGTGACCCACATACTTTGGTCCGACACGCCCAACATAGGGCGCGGCCATTTTGAACCCTGTGACACAGTTTACAGCTAAAGAATCAGATCGCTCACTCTGCGTCGGCACTTTGGATCTCAATGTTTCAGTTTATACACTGTGCAACTCGGATAATATAATACATGACAACCGCCTATAATAAAACAGCAGTCTTCTGCGTATCCTGAATTTGTATGCCTGGAGTGGATGTTATTTTGGAACTTTCAACTGGTCCGAGTGAGCTAACTGATTCTTTAGCAATAAACTGTGACTTCAAAAATAATAATTTACTGACACTGACAGCAGCAAGCAAAATATCAGGTGCGTTTTAATCATCCGCTTCTGCTTCCGGAATTGTCGGTTTAGTCGTTTTAACCTGTCAAATTAAAACAAGAAAACTGACAATTCCGAAGCAGAAGCGGATGATTAAAACGCACCTATTAAAAATATTGCGCCAAGATGTAGGCAACACGTAATAAGGGTTCAAAATGGCGGAGTTTTCTATCTCCTTTTAAAAGGCACTCAAAAAGCTGCGCAGTGCGACCATTCTCCGTATAGTAAAAGAAAATCAAAGTATGTGATGTGACCCGATTTCTTATGTCATTAGTGTCTTCTTCTTTTAATCTGTTTGAGCCCAAGTTCATTAGTATCAATTTTATTTTATCAGGTTCGTTGCACTGGTCTTGTATAGAAAGGAAGTGCAGAGAGCTGACAGCAATTTATCTTGCACTTTTACTTGCATTGAAAATTTCGAATGTCGTATGTCTCTCACTATATTTTTTCACCTCACTATATTTTTCCTTATTTTGAGTATTTCCCGATGGGGCTGCAATTTCATTTTCAGCTCACCCTAATAAAAGTTAAATCTTTAGTCACAATCGAATCGAGATAACTTAATTGGTTCGGAAGATACAAGTCCTCAAAATGTGGAAAATATTGTGAGATTATTTTGTATACCAATCCCGCTGTGAACTAAATTACCCATTTTTTTTATTTTAGATACGGAGCAATGCGTTTGAACGAGTATTTTAAGAGAAAGGATATATTTTTGAGGTTAAACTCACCAAGCTGATTCTCACATATGCCGGATGAATTCATTTATACGAAATCGCAGAAGGGGTTCGATTTACTTTTTTTTTATTGGCTTGTTCAAAGTCTTTCAAAAATGGCATTTAGAATGTCACAACAGCTATAAACAAACCAACAACGAACAACTACTAGATTAATTTTTTCATTAACAAATAAGCATTTGTATTCTGCCAGTATTTAATCATAGTGTTGGGTCATTCTCATTGATTTCTCCAATCAAGTCCAACACTCTCGTCAGGGGAGGACGTTTTAGTCAAATCAATTTGCAACTTTACTTTTAACTGTATTTATTTTCCAATAAAATACCTTTCGGTTGTATATCACAATTAACAATAACTTTTACCACTTAGAGTTTGTTGAGGCAGTGAATTGAGGAAACCGATCTAAATTAGCAAAATGAGTGTCATGGACATGGACGTTCACTCACCTGGAACGATTACATTACAATACTAATTTTACCCTTTTTTATAACTTCCGGCTCTAACAAGAAAAGGAAGTTCCCCTCTTACCTTATTAGGCGCAATATTAAAATTATTATTCCTAATTGACTGTTGCACCTGAGCCATTGTAGGGGTGGTTATGTCTTTCCCAATCTACCATTATGCAACCAGTATTACACCTGTACATATGGTTGAGTTTACAATACTAATGTTTTGGATGGTTCCACAACACATAACTTAATGTTAAATAGATAGAGCGAGACATTCACTAAATTAAGTGGGGATGGTGTTTACGAGTACGTCTTTTATAAATGAACCAGCACTTACGATGCTTTTTACACTGTTGTCACACTACAAAATAAATAGCGTACTTTCATGAAAATCACGTTCAACTACAATAATTGCAGAACAAAAAAGACATTAAATTGATGATAACTGATATTAAGAATACAAATTTACTTTTTTTTTTTAATATAATTTGGACAACCTTTAATGCGTTTTAGAGCTCTTGTTAAATACATTCTTGTACATAGACTCTTCCGAAATAATTTGACAACTATGTTGGATATCAACAATGCTTGTAATTAGCCTTTTGTAAACAAAATTGGTCTAGTAGTTGTTCATCGTTGCTTACTTTTGTCTCGAACTTATCACCCAGTGATTACTTACTTTTATTTCAATAAAACGAACTGTAATATTTAATTACATAGTTATACACGTTTTTTTTTTTAGATGATTATGACTATTATTTAATTAAATCTATAATCTATTTTAATTAAATGAAAAATTTGTATATATTATTTTACTCATTCAAAATCACAATTATTATATTGACCCTTCAGTGTTTCCGTACCCGAACACGCTGTATATAGGTATATCAATTATTTTAAAGATGTAACCGTCTTAGATTTAACAAAAAAAGATTCGTACACGTCATTGACAAGAAATTATTTTATATCGAATATTTTATCATTGTTGTGTTATTGAAACGTTTGTTCAAATATTTTTAATCTACCAATAAATTTATTTTTATTATACCAGAAGTGTAGTTTTATTAAAATGATACACAACCTCATAAAAACTGTAGGATACCTGAAATAGAATCAATAGAGGGTAAAAAAGGTGAAAAATAAAAAGTTGTTGCATTTTTTTGTACCAAGTTTTTTGACTTGATAAATATTTTGGCTCAGTTTTTAGCATTTCTGTTTACAATTGAAATAATTAAAACGTCTAATTTAATAATTTGTGCATTACTGAGGCCCTTCCTATAGGACCTCAGTATTGCATTCGTGCAGACGAAAAAATTTTCTTATCCCCAAATTTTTATACTTTTTTTTACGTTTCCGATCATTCTGAATTTGAAAATGCGAAAAAAAATTTTTCGCCTGGTCGTCTGTGTGTATGTATGCCGGCACGATAACTCTAGAACGAAAGTTCTGATTAACTTTAATATCAATGTTCTTAAAATCCGCCTGTGCATTTTAATGCGACTTATTTTAAGCATTCCCATCATTTCTAACGTCTAACATTCCATACATTCCAAACATTCTTTAGAATTATATCTGTCATGCTCTGTCAATACAAATTAGCGCGGTGTTGTCAAGTTTCCAATTAAAATCAACAAAAATACATAAAAAATACCTTATTTTTGACATAATATTTTCATACTCTTTTAAAAGCAGTTTTATTAATTTATTTCCGGTCACACCCGATGATTTATTTATCCATGTTGATTGAATTGTTGTAGTACATAATTTTTAAATATTAATATTACGTCATCTATACAGTAATAATGTACTTTTCGAAAACTTTGAAACTTAATTACTTTGTGTTTTCCAAAAGTTTTTAAAACTGTTTTGAATCAAGTGAATTTATTTGTTTGATAAATGACGCTAAAGTCTATTCAAATTTAATTTACGCCTGATGTAAACAGAAGCAGGTGGACGCTAAAATTGAGCAGGGCCGTATTTTACTTTTACGTTTTGCAAAAATGTAAAATAAAAGAGTGTAATTGTGAAATTATTTTTTTATTACGATAAAAACATATTTTATAAAGTAAAACTATAAAATAAATGCCATACACGGTCTCCCAGACTTTAGTGACATTTCTGGACGAAGATAGGTGAGCGACATAAACTGCGTTAACCTGCAATACAAATTAATAAATGTATTTGACTTTAATAGAGATGGTTGCATTATATTTAGTTCATTATATATGTCTACTGTGATACAGAGCATTAAAACAATCATATTATAAAATTATATTGTACAGGTTGTCCAAATAATTGCAAATTCTTTAATAGCTAATATATATCTACTAAAAGCATTAAAAAAACTTTAAATATAAGAGGTATTTGGTATTTGAATTTGGTATTTGATTTAAAATTGTGCATCTTAAAAAGAAACCTTTTGTATTTTTGATAACTTTTGTTCTTTATTGTTCTTGTTCTACTAGTATTTAGATTAGACAACTTGTACCCTGTTTTATAACAATCTTCCTTACTTGACTTAGCACTATTCTGAATCGGATAAATTAGTTAGACTTGAAAGGCTATCTTCATTAATCAAAATTACAAGTGGTTCTACCTGAACCTCTATAATATTATCCAAATCCCACATTTTTTCTTCAACTGAATAGACTTTAGCCAGCCAAGTTAAAAGAGTACTATCAACAAGAGGATAGCTGAATTAGTTCAATTTGTGCTGGGTTAACCGTGACGTCACTCGGTGGATACTTTTAAGGCATTTCCTTATAAGCTTACCACAACATACATGGTTACAGTATTGTGGATACTGTGGTGACATCACACATACCGTGGTAACCTTTTATATAATGTCATATGTCAAATTTAATTGGGGATTTCTAAACGGAATTTGAGGTCAAAACAAAAAACCAAATCCCGTGGTGAGGAAATGCGTGGTTGCCAAGTTACAGATGAGGCAATTTAGCTGTAATCAGTTACAGAGAAACTATTGCCATAGAGACACTTGTCATTGTAACGACTAAACAAAAACCCAATTTGCGTGGTAAGGAAATGCATAGTTGGCAAGTTACAGGTCATTTAATTTTAACTTTAGTGTACCTGAAGTCGGTTACGGAGAAACCGTTGCCATAGAAACACTTTTCGTGATGTCGACTAAATAAAAACCAAAATTTGGTAGTGAGAAAATGCGCAGTTGCCTCTTATATTTAGAATAACTCTTAACATAATATCTCAATCTAAACTAAAGTGAAAATGAAACCATCTACGCTACGCTCCTCCCACCCGCCTCCAAACCAGTACAGAGGAGGGCGAGCGGGCCAGGTAGACGTTTCGAAATTCGCGCGAATTTGATTCATTTCATTTCATAAAATTTTATTCAATATTGTTTTGTAAACCTATCAGGAATCTATATATTAGTATGTTACGTTACTTATTTGTGTACACTCTGTATATATATTTCGACTTGTGCCTTAACATTTCAAATTGCTCAATATTTCTTAATTAAAAAAATGTTTAGATAACATGGCCATAGTATATAAATTTATTACCTACTATTTGCTTATTTATTTGCTCCTATAATTTTTAAATGGGCCAAAATGATTTTTTGAATTTAAAAATGTTTGAACGTTGTAATTTAAAAAAGGGTGTATCGATGTACGTTTTAAATGGGATGACTTTTAAAGTATTCACCGAGTGACGTCACAGTTAACTCAACACAAATTGACCTAATTCAGCTATGCTTTTGTTGACAGTAGTTTTTAAATTTGACTAGCTGGCGTCATTTTGTCAACCAAATAAATTACTATGATAAGCGTATGCAATTTTGTGAGGAAAAGATGAGGCGGTATGACGAGAATAATGGGTTTCCACTGAATATACTCTTTTCGGATGAAGCTATTTTTTACTTAAATGAAATAGTTAACAGGCACAATTATCATTTCTGGAGTCAGGAAAACCCACACTTGTTATGTGAAGCGCATACGCAGCGTCATCAGAAAGTAAATGTATAGGCAGGAATCATCAACAACGAAATATTAGGTACATACTTTTTTTAGAAAAACCTTATAGCTGTACCCTACTTAGACTTTTTAAGATTTGAATTAGTACCTGCTCTAGCTGTTATGTTTTCCAACAAAGTAGATTCATATATCCTCAGTGAAACACTATGGTTTCAACAGGACGGTGCTCCCCCACAATTTGGTATTAATGGCAGAGAATATCTCGATGAAATATTTTCAGGACGCTGGATTGAACGACGTGGTACAATTGAAGGGCCACCAAGATCCCCAGACTAAACGCCATTACTTTATTTGGGGATATCTAAAAGACAAGGTTTATCAAAATAGGACGGCTAATATTGAAGATCTAAAGAACAAAATTAGAATGGAATCAAATAATATACCGGCTGAGGGTATTTTGAATTCCATAGATGGGTTTTACCATCGCCTGGGAGCCTGTTAAGTACAGGTTGGTGGACATTTTCAACATCTGCTACGTTAATTCACCTGTCAATAGCACTAAAAAGGTATTTGTAACTTTTTTTTGTTTTTAAAAGTAAACTTTTCTCATTTCCCAATGACAACAAAAGTAAAAAAAAGGATATGGAGGTTTTCAATTACCCTACATACAACATAGCTTTGCATTTAAGAAAAAAAGTTGGGTAGGGATGCAGCTAAAGGAATGAAGAAAAAAAAATTCATTTTATTGGCAATAAATACGTTCAATGTAAAATCAATTCACGGGATTCAGCGGTTTTTTTAAAGTTACTGGTTGAACAAATAATAATTTTATTCCGGACTTTCGCGCAACTCTAGTACCACGTACCTAACTGTAGATGCGTCATATTTTGGTGGTGAAAAGAGCTATGCCACACACTTATTAATTGGAGAAAATGGGTTAATAAGTTTGTGTAACTTTAAGGCTAAAACAACTTTTGATTTAAATATACAAATACAATGTTAATAAACAAATATCCTGACAAATGACGGGCGCGCGAAAATTAATTTGAATCGCGAATATGTGAAATGTGTCAAATTACCATGGCCAAGCTCGATTAAAAAAAAATACTGAACGACATTATAACAACATATAATAAAAATTTTATAAAATTTAAATATGTGGTGTACGCTGGTTTTCTTGATCGTATCTCTCGCAAATAAAGTGAAATTGGACATCGCAAGGCCTATCGTTCCACATTAATTTTTCGTTCTGTTTCCAAACTTGCAGACATTTCTCGCCATTGGGATCGCTGGGTTGTCCGTTACCCCAGTTAGTGTAATCGATTTCCTCTGCATACGGGAACCATACCCATTTTTGGCCGTCGATCAATCTGGTGCCTCCGGTCCAGTATTCGAAACCTTTGCCTGAAAAAATGGATAAGCTCATGTTACAGATCTTCAGGATTGATGAAATGTATCAAAATCACGGGTCGCGGGCTTTTGATAGAAAAACGTTTTATCGAAAACATTTTTTGATTGAAAACAAAATATCGAAAAAATTAATTTATTGATTGTAACTTGATCTAAATACAACAGTTTACAAATGATGGAAATAAAATTAATTAAAAAAAAATATTTAAAATTATACTAGGATGCATTCTTGGAAAATAAAAATAATATTACTTTTTAAAGAAAACTGGCTATATTTTTCACAATAATTAAACATTTAAAAAAGAAAACAAATATAATTAAAAATACTATATTTGTTAAGTATGTATTTCTCAATTTGCTCATTATTAATTGGACATCAAATATTTCTAATAATGATTAAGTAAATGCGACAAATTGTATCCTTGTATTTTCTTTTGACTTCCGAAATATCGCAAGTAGGTAACAGCGAACGTGATAAATAGCCAAGTCAGCAATTTAATTATTAATAAGTCTTAAATTGCCATTTGAATTGAGTATATTTAACGAATTACCTATGGAATCACCCAGCTAACACAGTCCCACAATGATAAATGATAAAAAATTCTTGTATTTTAAAAACTTACTTGCTTCTCTGATATATTTGTAAATCTGTTCATTTTCTTCATGAGATCCGATGGACAACAGTTTCATATTAATATTTCTACAGAAATCTACTGCATCGAACCATCTTGCCTAAAAAAATGCATCGAGTAACAAATCTGAACTGTAATCTTTTTAAAACGAGCCATTCACGATGAGACATGCCTAGCCGCATGCGGCGCTACATAAGTACACCTGGGGCGGTATTACCGAAACCGACATCAGCGGTATACGGAGAGAAACGTCGAGAAAAATTCAACATGAGTATATATAGGTATCGCCGCATATTATGAAACTCTAGTGTTAATTTAGTCACAGTTCACGCATTAAATTCATGTGACCATAAGCGTTTTAATTGGTAATTATTTGACTATTTTCTTTTGTCCTTCTCATCGGCAATTATTAGGCAAGCTGTTACATCAATTGCAACACATTAGGAAGCTAATAAAAAACGCCATAATACCGACAATAACAGTAGACCGCAATCCACTGAAATCTCAAGCGGTGGAGTGAGGCTGTCTCAGTGTGTGTTACTATGTGTGCCTTGAGACCGTTTTTCGTGAGATCTGTGCAGCGCCGCATGCGGCGAGTCAATCTTTTCGTGAATGGACCGTTTAAGAGATTCAAAAACAAAATTTTTAAGCTACCTAAGTACTTTTATAAACGCCTTATGATGAGAAATACAGTATTACATTTTTAAGCTACATAATAAGGTTTTATTACTCTCTCCTATTAGCGAAAATACACAATAGTTTTTTATTATGTCAAATTTTCTCATTTAAATACTAAATAAAAAATCCGTCAAAAACTGGAGGTCGAAAAAATCATGATTCCTATACTTTCCTTATATCTGTATACAGATAGGAAAGTAAAAATAAAATTAATACTTACCGTATGCTGAATGCCCATGAAGTAACTTTTGTTACCCCAGTGGCGTAGGGAAATTACTGGCGAGCCCAAATCCCTAAATACATCTTCCCAGGTACTTACTAAAAAAAAAAGAGTTCTATTGTGGAAATAAAAACTACAAAATGTTCAAATAGATTCGTTAAATATTTATGTCAATTTCTAGTTAAACTTATTATTTCAAGGGACCAGATAACCATCAAGGTCGAATGCTTCAAGTGTCTCACAAAAACCACTGATCTACAATATTAAAGATCAGTCTCAAAAATTGACAAATTATTTCTATGACCGTCTAATTTCGGGACACCCTGTATATCATCTATAACTATCAATAAATAAAAAATATTTGAGTTGTATTCCTACATTCGTATATTAACAAGCCGCTAACCCCCAGTAGGCGGCGATAGCCAACAAATTATACCTGAATTGTAATCGGACCCTACCCAATATGATTAGCCTTCATCGCACGACACACAACATTGCCAAATTTATGTAGCGAACAAGGTTCCAAATACTTTAAGGGGAGGTCGTGAGATTCGTGCGGTGTGACGTCAGAAGGGACTGGATTGCTCTTAATGATTTCGGGAAAATCAAATAGACCTATGTATTGATTTAGCAAGAAATCTAGCAAACGAGCTATCAATAGAATCAGCATTTTCTGAAAAGCCTAAATGAAAGATTAAAACATTGTTTGACGAAAGGATCAAAGATGGTGTGGCCATAATGAATCCATTACATAAGCTTTACTGTAGGTATACTGGATACATTTATTCAGAGAATGTGATGCAGATTTCAATGTTTAGCTGTCACAGGTTTAGATTTTGGCTCACAGAACCTTCGTTAGGTACACGAACCTTTGACTGAAGGACTAAAGAAATCTGCAAATATTCTTGCATTAAAATACAAAGATGAATTAAGTGCCAACGAGTTGTGTTTAGACATTGAAACTACAAACACGAAATGAAATCATTATTGCCCGATTTAAAAAATGCAGATAATGGACATTATACTTCTTCATTGGTATACAGAATATGGCTTAATGACCAGTTATCCCAATATATCCCAATATACTTTACAAATATGATAATTTCAGGACGCTCTGGCAATGCAAGAAGTATCTAATTCTGCGAACTTTAACAGTGCTCCTCGTATTATAAGGAAATATTTACTACTGGTCGGAAAAAATATGTACAAAATTAGGTTAACAAAGTAACCACTATTAAATTCGGTAGTAGAAAAAATATTTTAATAGGTATTTAGTTTGTTCAATTTAGAAATATAAATAGTTTTAGAAATAGCTTACCTGCCTTTGCTTCGGAGTAATTATTTACCGTACATAAGGCAACAATGGCCAAAATTATGAAACTTCCAAAATTAACGAACAACATTCTGGATGTTCGTCTGAACCACAAAATGTGGCAAACCGGCTTAAAAACGCTGCTTTTATATCAAATCAATTTGAATTTAACTTTATGAGCTATTATAAGAACGAGTAGACATATAAAAAATAAATTTAAGTTCAAGGTTTTCATTAAAATTGGTCTTAAGTGTCTAAAATGTAAAGTATCATAACAACAGATTAACAAAATTAATAAAACTGACATATTAATATGGACCTATAAAAATCAATGAGGCAGCAAAATGATTCAACTTTTGTTTTATTTCTTATTTTACAGGTTAATAACTGCAACCATGCAGGTGGATGTATGAATTTTAACAATATATTATAATGAAAGTTAAAAAATACCATCTATATACATAAAATTGTATTGTACATTATGTTTTATGAAATAAAACATTAAAATTTCAATTCCACTTTCAAAAATAGTAAAGTCATTCCAAAAAAAAAATGTAGATCATTCCATGGAATGTAAGGTGACACTCATGTTTAGACAATATTTTTAAAAATGAAATTTAAACGAATTGATTTATTTTTACATAAATAGGAATAAAAATTCCGATGCGTTGTTCTAGTTTCATTTAATTTTCAATGTGCTTAGGAATAATTAAAATCAGAGAGTGGGAACAGACACATTAGTTCTGTATCTTTCACAAATGAATCTCAACGAATTTTCACACGTCCTGTCGTTCCATTCCAACTTTTCTCCTACTTTCCAAACTTGTAAACATTTTTCGACATTAGGAAAGTCAGGTTGACCAGTCTGCCAATTTGCGTACCCAATTTCTTCTCCATAATTAAACCACACCCATTTGCGATCATCAATTAGTTTTGTACCTCCAATCCAGTAATCAAATCCAAAACCTACAAATGTTATTTTGCATAGGTATTTCATTGGGATTGACATTTCAAAAACATTATAAATTTATTATGTTAAAAAAAAAGAAAAGGTAAAATACGTTATAAAAGTAATAAATCGATTCCAATTTGATAATTTTCTCATGACTACCATCATCAGATCTGGACCAAATTTATATGGGACTACCACTGAGGTATTCCTTGGTTATATTACATCCCCAACTAGCCATTCATAAAACTGTATTTGTTGTAAAGTTCTCATCATCATCTATTGTATAGTCCAGGAGACAGTGACGATTTTCGGTATTTATTTTCCCAGTCAGCAAGCACGAATAGAGAATTGTAGGATTAGCAATTCTAAGCAAAATTCATATATATTTACAGGGGGATCCGATGGGCTGAGGCTGAAAATGCGTCAAAACATACGAGAACACGGCCCTTTTTTTCCATTGATTAAAATAGTTTTAGTAGCAAGAGACGTACTGAAGTTAAGTAAAAAAATAGTCTGATTAATCTGTATGGATAATATATTTGGCAAGTGCACAAAATACACTTTCAAACGAGTTATGTACACAATTATTTCTACGACCACAATTATTTAAAGAATGTTCCAGGTGTTTTGTATATTAAAGTGTACGCATAGGACACATAAATAAAATCTTATATCACAATGTTTCACCTAACCAGTTGGTTTATTTATAGAAATTAAACATAATAATTGAAGATATTACAGAAGAAAATAGGGAAATAAATTACATTTCCTTTTACACTTTTATGTAATAATTGTTTTATTTAGAATTCACGAATCACTTATTACTCTACATTAATTATAATTATTGTTAGTTTCGTTATGTCAAATAATTTATACTAGAGGTGTGAGGAAAATACAGTGTGGAACGCCAATATCGTTGGATGCGCGTGGTAGAAATGGTCTTATAATACTGCTAAAAACATAGCTAAATTTTTATGGAAACACTGTTCTTTTGACATTTGCGATACTCCGACGCATATGCATTATTGATGTAATCTCATGATTTTACAGTAATAGTTTTTGCAATTTTAGTGTGATTTTTAGGTTATTATGGTTATTCATTTTATTTGGTTCTGATCTTTTGCGCTTTTAGAGTATTTGTCTTTTATATAGTTTTTAATTTGAATTTTAATATTGTGATCTATTTATATTTGATTGCTGCTTTTCGACTAGTGCTTTATTCTTTTTGTGTTAAAATAAGCTTTATAACCATTAAGTACATGCTTCTAGTTGATATCTACCTAATCGTCATCGGGTGCTTGCAACAATGGGAGAACGTGTATGGTTTTTTTGGTGTAAAGTTAGACGCCTTCATTTTTCAGGTAAGTTAATGAGGAAACGTTTAAAAAACATGCTGTACCAGCTATTACTTTAAGACCTCGTATCTTTAAGTTATTATTACTTCATTCTAATGCATATATTAAAATGGTTTTTAACTTATGTCCTTATGATTAAAAGATGTAGGTATTTTAGTTATGTTATAATAGAAATATATAATACTTTGTATTGACTGACCTACTGGCCAGTGGTCATTCCACTTTTACTCCCTTTTTTCATAAATTATCAAATTATTTAAAAACAAATACATACCTAGCTATTTTCTGTAAATTACATTAAAATTTTAGTATTAATACTTTACTAATAAAATTTCAGTTAATTTATCTTATATATATACACAACGGAAGAGTTAATTGGATTTTCTCCTTGTTGAGTTTCAAAAATAGTAATTTAACATGATTTAAAAACAAATACATGAAATGGGCAAAATAGGCCTGCAAAGGCACTTTGTAAACAATCTCACTTGTATCGATGTGACGTAATGCGCGAATTCAATCTGGCTTACTTTTGTTAATAGATTGGCGATCCATTTTAAAAATACAGTTCACCGGGAATAGTTTATTTAAATATACCGGGAAAACAAGTACGAAAAAATTCACTGGCTCCTGGACTAGTACTGTATCGAAGGAATTTTTATGAATGAAACAATATACGACCCTCCACAATTGCGGTCTACTCTACTTCCGCTGTTGTCAGACATTATTTTTTTTTGGACAATTTAAAGACCTAACAGTAATTCAAGCAAACGCAATAACAGTACTACAGTTAAAAACATCGCAAACTTGGCATCAATATTTTAATTTTATCCAAATATTGCATTTCTGTCGAGGATCATCCGCGTTGACTTCAGAAATTGTGTAATCTGTATTGGTTATATATATATATATATATATATATATATATATATATATATATATATATATATATATATATATATATATATATATATATATATATATATATATCTATAGTTAAAAGCACGTAAACTTGGCATCAATGTTCAATCCGATTATTGAGTTTCTACCGCGGACACCACCGTTCATTCTTCAAAAATTTTGTAAATAATCCTATCTGTCTTGGTTATATATCTATGGGTATTCCCCTTTTTTAACAATCATAGAAATCGCAGTGTGGTAAATAATTATCGCTGAACAAAAAATATATTTCGATTAATTGACCACCTCTTCCTTTTATTTAAAATCTCTTAAAAACTAGTATTGATATAACAAAAAAGTTAGGTACCTGCTTCTTGAATAAACCTATAAATGACGTCATTTTCTTCTTTAGATCTTATAGATGCTAGATTCATATGCATATGCTTACAGAAATTTAAAGCTTCAAACCAATTTACCTAAAAATAAAATTTTCTTTTTTAATTTTGTGTCATCGGCATCAACTACTTAGGTTATTAGCCTCGTGTTCTGTGCAAGCTTTGTTACTAATTCCCAGTGCCACTTTAGGAACAGCACTGTTAATTAGAACCCAACAGTGAATGGTCGAGTGGGTAATCCTTTCTATGCATTAGAATTAATTTATTAAATTAAATAAAAATTCCTGCCACCAGTGGCAATCAAACCTGAAACTCTTTGATTTCAAAGTCATGACTCTAATCACTAAGTCAATGCACCCCCTTAAAAATTTACTCATTTTAATTTTGTATTTAGAGAAAAAACAACGAAAGACTTTATAAAAATTGGCATTAAATAATAGTATGTTATTTATGAAGCATAATAATGATGGCTATTATTTATTATATAAATCACGCCTGTGAAAAAAATATTTTATACGAGTAGAATACTATACTTTGTCATGACTATTAAGATATTTATGAACATATTTATTTATTGATAGTTATAAATGATATACCGGGTCATTCTATATGGGCGGAACACTTGATTTATGGCTTAACTATGACTTGTACGATAATTTGACTTAGATAAAAGTTTTTGTACATTTTATGTAGGGGAGTGTAGGTATGTTTGGGACATTTAAATTTATATAAAAAATTTTAAATTTAGCGCGCTAGTTTTCTGTCACAATGTTACCACCATTAAAATGAACTACTGAACAAAGTTTCATACTTGAGAGCTTTGCCAAACGCAGTAGGTGTGCATTTTAATTTTACGTGAAGTAATGGTAAAGTTTCTCGTGTTTAAGTTTTTTTTTGTGATTAGGAACTAAGCTTCTGAAACTGTTTGGTAAGTAAGTCCTGATTTTATTGTCTCATTGCTAGAGATCATGTTTAGAGTGTTGCTTGATAAACATAACCTAGAGATTTGAAATCGGCCGTTAAAATATTAGTTGTTTGGTAGGTATGTTAGGGACACAAGATGGTAGGTATGTTTAGGACGTCCCAAACATACCTACTATATGTCCCAAACATACCAACTGGGTTTTTCAATGCCTAGTTATTTTCCAGTTTCAAACTATTAAAATTGTAAATTTTGTTATTGTTTCTCTTTCAGATTAGGAAAATGCCAAGCATTTTTAAAAAAAAGATAGGCACAGAACTGAAACGAAAACCACGTAAAATAATAAGTAAAGATGTTATTCAAAGAGCTTATTCTGATATTGTGGACAACAAAAAATCCATAAGAACAGCTGCAAAAGACTATGAGATTCCAAAGTCAACTCTTGCCAGATACATAAAAAAAAGAAATATACTTTTGGTTCTGTGCATACAAGCAGACATATTTTCACAAAGGCAGAAGAAAATCAATTAGCAGACTATTTAATTAGAGCCAGCTATATGCATTACGGATTAGATTTAAAGCAAACGAAGGAGCTCGCTTATCAGTTTGCCATTGCTAATAATAAAAATGTTCCAGAAACTTGTCAAACCAATAAAGCAGCTGGGAAATTTTGGTGTTTAGGTTTCTTCAACAGGCATCCAAACCTTTCGTTGCGAAAGCCTGAGGCGACAAGCCTCTCTCGAGCTACAAGCTTTAACAGAAAAAATGTATCTGAATTTTTTGAAAAGCTAGAATCTTTATATGGACGATACAACTTTGATCCTTCGCAACTGTATAATGCAGATGAAACTGGGGTCACTACTGTCCAAAACCCTGGTAAAATAGTGGCAGAAAAAGGAAGAAAACAGGTTGGCAAAGTAACTTCTGCAGAGAGGGGGTCCCTAGTCACGGTTTGCTGCAGCATAAACGCTATCGGAAACTCAGTTCCGCCTTTCTTTATTTTTCCTAGAGTTAACTTTAAGGAATATATGCTGAAAAATGCTCCACATGGATCTGCAGGTAGGGCGTCACCATCAGGCTGGATGACAGCACCTATCTTCTTGGACTACATTAAACATTTTGCTGCAAACGTAAATCCGTCTAAAGAAAAACCTGTGCTTTTAATTTTTGATAACCATGAAAGCCACATTTCAATAGATGTTATCAATTTTTCAAAAGAAAATGGAATACATTTACTTACTTTGCCACCGCACTGCAGCAGCAGACTGCAGCCACTAGATGTGTCTGTATTTTATGCATTTAAACGATTTTATAACAATGAAGCAGATAAATGGATGATGAACAACCCTGGGAAAACTATTACCATTTATGAAATTGCAGAATTAGTTGGAAAAGCTTATTCTCCGGCCTTCAGCAAATCGAATATAGAAAGTGGCTTCTCCAAAACAGGGATTTATCCATTTAACCCCGATATTT